ACACACACACACACACACACACACACACACACACACACACACACACAAAGAGAAACGCGCGGGCGCACGTAGAAACATGAAAATGCGCGGAGAAACACAAATGCATACAACAGACACACACACAAGCACACGCGCACACACACAGACTCCAATAAAGACACAGATCGCTCCCTCGCGGGTTTTGGATTGATTTTATTTTTTATTTTATTTTATTGCAGCACAGATTTGGGATGGGGGAATGTAATCAACCCCTGTTTTCCCTCCCCCGGTGGCGTTAATTCAGGGCTGTCTTCACTTTCACTTTCAAAATTCAAACTATTAAGACTATTGCTATTCTTCTTCTCATCCTTCCTATTACCCATCTCTTTCCCACTTATGACTATAACCGGGTTGCTTGTATCTCTAGAATTTATATTGTTTTATTTGTTCCCTGGCATGATTTGATTGCTTATTAGTAACCTGTGACTATCACTAAGGGTTGTATCTTACGATTCTTTATTAAGAAGAGACTGGGCAATGATTTGTCTGAAATGGGATAGGGTTTCCCGCCTGAGCAGGAGGTTGGGCTAGAACAGGGGTCACCAACCTTTTGGACTTCAGGGACCACCAAACTTTTAAATCCCACGGACCAGAGACCCTGGGAAAATCCCCCCCTCAAAAAATCTGCAGGAAAATTCCCCACCCCATTTTCTTACCAATCGATCGTTCTTTATTTGGGATCGCAGGATACCGTCTCCAGCTCAGTTCTCAGGGAGAGAGAGAGAGAGACTTTTGGCTGCATGCAAGGAAAGCAGCAGAAGCAGCAGAAGTCTTTCTTTCTCTTCCCCAAACTCCGCCAGAAATGAGTCTTTACCAGGCGCAGCCTCTTGGAGCAGGAGGCCTTGCAGGGTCCCAAAGACTCATTTCTGGCAGAGTTTGGGGGAGACAAAGAAAGACTTTTGCTGCTTTCCTTGCATGCACCCAAAAGCAGAAGAAAAAAGAAGCGGAAGAAAGTAGCCCGGTGGCCAGGCCAGGCACGTGGGGCGAGTGGGGAAAGTTCCCCCCCTTTGCCCTTTCCCCCCTCCCCTCACTACCTCGTGTAGTTCGCAATGCAAGCGACACAAGCTTTGTGTTCCCGC